TAACCGACTGCGCCACCCAGGCGCCCCTTCTTTTTTTTTTTAAGAGAAAGAGTGCATGAATGGGGTAGAGGGACAGAGAGAGAGAGACACAGAGAGAGAGAATCTTAAGCAGCCTCCGTGCTGAGCATGGAGCTCAATCCCATGACCCTGGGATTGTGACCTGAGCCGAAATAAAAAGTCAGAGTTTTAACTGACGAGCTACACAGGAGCCCCTAACTCCTCTGTTTCTAATTTTACATTCAAGAGAGATTTTTATTTTCTTATTTTTTACTATTAGATACGATTACTTTTTCAGATAAGAGCAACCTTCAGTGTTGTCTTTTTTCTATATTTCAGGGAATTGGCTCGGGAAAAGGTAATGCGAGAAGTTAAAGCCTTAGCCAAGCTTGACCATCCAGGAATTGTGAGATATTTCAATGCTTGGTTGGAGGCACCACCAGAGAAGTGGCAAGAAAAAATGGATGAAATCTGGCTGAAAGATGAAAGGTAACTTGGTTAGACATAGACTTAAAAACTAGTACTTCCTTTTAGGCTAGTTTTTCCTTCTGTGAATAAAATATCATTTCTGTAACTAGAGATGTGTCTTGTTTGTTTGTTTTAGGAAAAACTGCTGTTCTCTGTCATGTTTTAGAACATTCTCTAGCCACTTGTTAATTGAAAAGTTTATTTTTTAGAACCTGAATTTTTGAAATTCTTTGTAGATAGGGCTCTACAAATTGTAAATCACTGAGGGATTTATGCTGGCTTTTCTCATCAAGAGAGATTGTCTGCTTTTGTCTCCAGTTTTTTTAAATTTTAGATGTTTAGTTTCTCAGTAGTTAACAAGTCACAACTCTTTTTCGAAGTAGGTTATACGTATTTGCAGCTAAAAATACTTAAACTTACTGCAGATAATTCCTATATCTTGGGAAAGAAGGCTCTTGTAAAAAGGATTAAATGAGAACGAAGAAGAGGCAGGCTGCAGACAGACTGTTTACCAAATAGCTGGGATTAAATCCCAGCCTACGTGTGCCAAACACAGCCCCAGATCCACATGAAGCCATTTGTTCAGGTGGCACTTGTTATAGACGCAGTCAGTAGCCAAACCATGGAAGGACCCAGTGAGGTGATCCTCAGCTCAAGGCCCTGGGAGCTGCTGGCCCAGTGTGGACGAGGGATTCAGAATCACAGCCGCTGAGGAATCCTGTCTTTGGTGGGCCCTCAGTGCCTTGTGTTTTGCATAAAGGCCTTGGCTGCTCTGGCACAACAGATAATGGCTTCGAGTATAAAACGAAGCTTTCCAATTTAAATTTCTTAGAAGAAATGGATGGAATATGACTGTTCTTTGTCACATATAGCATGTTTTTATTTAATCTGTGTGTTGTTTGTCATTTGGTAACTGGCTTTCTTACAGACGAAGCTTTTAGAATAAAGAGTATAGTTCACATAATTTAATCAGCACATACTCCCTCTCTTCCCTTTGTATCTCTCCCACTTGTAGCACAGACTGGCCACTCAGCTCTCCTAGTCCAGTGGATGGACCATCCGTTAAAATACGCAGAATGGACCCTTTCTCTACAAAGGAACATATTGAGATCATAGCTCCTTCTTCACAAAGGAGGTCTTTTTCAGTAGGGATTTCCTGTGGCCAGACAAGTTCATCCGAGAGCCAGTTCTCTCCACTGGAATTATCAGGAACAAACCACGGAGATACCAGTGAATCAGTGGATGCAGCCTACAACCTCCAGGACAGTTGCCTTACAGAGTGTGATATGGAAGACGGTACCATGGACGGCAATGAGGAGGGGCACTCCTTTGAACTTTGTCCTTCTGAAGCTTCTCTTTATGGAAGGTCAAGGGAGCGAACATCCTCTTCTATAGTGTTTGAAGATTCTGGCTGCGATAATGCATCCAGGAAAGAAGAGCACAAAACTGACCGCCTGCATATTGGCAACCATTGTGCTAATAAACTGACTCCTTTCAAGCATTCCAGTAGCAAATCTTCTTCCGAACCTACCTTCTCTATTTCTCCTCCAAGACCGACCACTTTGAGTTTAGATCTCACTAAAAACACTGCAGAAAAGCTCCAGCCCAGTTCACCGAAGGTATATCTTTACATTCAGATGCAGCTGTGCAGAAAGGAAAACCTCAAAGACTGGATGAACAGTCGGTGCACCATAGAGGAGAGAGAGAGGAGCATGTGTCTGCACATCTTCCTGCAGATCGCAGAGGCTGTAGAGTTTCTGCACAGTAAAGGGCTCATGCACAGGGACCTCAAGGTCTGTATTCGGGGAACACCGCCCAGGGGTTTCAGTCTGACATTCTGTGATTGAGAGCAGTTCTTTCGATATTTGTCGGTCTCTAACTGAAGTGCCCTCGGGCAAAGGAGAGTAAAGGCATCAGAGAAGGGAGCAGAGGTCAGGGGAAATAGCCTGAAGGAACCTCTGCAAAAAGAAGTCTTGTGTTTTGAAAACTTCGGGCAGAGCATACCCTGTCCTCTATAATGTGCTTATGTTCATTTTACAGTAAAAAGTATTCCCGGTCCTCCTGATGAAAAGGACCAATCCACCCTGAGCAGATATACCCTGTTTTTCCTATGGCTTTGGGTAGCCCTGACATAAGTTCCAGAGGGCCCCAGAGTAGCCTGGTGAGAGGACCCACGAAGGAAGGGCAGACATAGGTTCCGCATTAGCCATTTGGGGAACGGTGTGAGAAGCTGGATGGGGAAAGAAAGGAAATAGCCACATGATTGTTTCTAGCTCTAAAAACTTTGATTCTATTTTTGGTATATACGGTATTGAATATTGTGGCAATATGATATGCTAAATTATATAAGATTCTTGCTAAAATACTCAATATTTCTTCAATGTGTGTCTCTGAAATAAGTATATGGAACTTTTACCTGGCTAATTTCGGCCGTATTCCATACGCTCATAGCGATCATCAGCACATGTGTAGGGAATATATAAATACTCTCCTGATGACGAAGTAGCTAAAATTATTGATTGCAGGCATTTTCAGTTTTGTTGCACGTGACCACACACTTTTGTTTCAGGCACCAAAGTAGCTACTTGGACAAGTTATTTTCTTCTCAAATCACCAGTAGTTTTTTTAATCCTTGAATATGTTTTAAGAGTTTGGAATAACAGGGATAAGAATTAGGAATAGTTCCTCTTTTCCAAAGTGATCCTTATTGAGGTATATATAATCACTGTGCTTCAGTGATTTTTAGGGTGGGCCCAAACTGATGAGCAGGAGTTTATTTTGCACTGTAAGAAAAGTTCAGAGATGATTTCTTTTGGTTGAAAGGGAGAAGACAACTTCCAGGAAGCCAGATCCCCTTAACCAAAGGGTGCTGGCTATTTGAATACGGTAAACGTTTATCATCTGGTTAGAAACACATTCTTCTTGTACTTAGCACTTACTATACACACAAGATTCCAAGTTGAAAGGCAATGTAATTATGTTTTCACTGATGATGTATCCTTCTGCCGATTTTATAATGTTAATGAGATATTAGTGAATATTTGTTTAATGCCACAGTGTTATCTAAAGGTTTTTTCTGCGTTTGTCTATCCACCAAAAAAATTCCAATTTCCCCTTAGTTTTTCTAGAAATCAAAAAGTCTGTTCCTTTGTAAAGACCTATTGTTTTTAAAGACTTCCAGTGTGCCAGAAAAATTACTCCCACAATTTTTATTCCCAGTGTAAAAAGGTCTGCATTCTGTTCGTTCTGACCCAAGGCTCTGAGCCATGTTAAACCTTGCGGCCCTTCCACTCCCCAGCTTTTGTTCCTCGCCCAGTTTTTGTCATTGGCGCTCCCCATCCCCCAGTTCTCCAGGCTTCTAGTCTCTTCTCTCTAGCTGGGGCTTCACACTGGGCTTTTCGCAGTTCCTCAGGTATACTGTGTCCTCATAGAACCTGGTATTTCTCCTTTAAATTCTCATCACACTTGTATTATTTATCCTTAGGTTTCCATGTCTGTTTTGTTCACTTGTTAGTCCCTTAGTACAATGTCTGGCACATTCTGTATGCTCATACCACTTTATTTTTAATATTCTTTTGTTTATGGGAAAAAAGCATTTGTACCGATTTAACCAAAAAGGAAATGTATTGGCCATGTAACTGAACTATCCAAGATTCAGGTAAAGCTTGATCTAGGATCAAGAGATGTATAGCCAGAACCTGGCCCTACCCCATCGCCATTTCATGTTTCCATTTTCAGGCATGGTCTCCCTTCACGGTCTCAGGATAGATATCAGCAGTTCTCAGGGCTTCATGTTGTAAGTCTTTGAGGGTCGTTGGATAGGGCATGGGAACAAAAGTATCTCGTTCCCCCAATATTCATCAGAAATCCTGGGTTTCTTTCTAATTGATAAGTCAAGGACACCTATCCACCCCTAACCCAGTCTCCTAGCCAGGGGATGGAACCATGCTGACTGGCTTATATAACCTCTGGGGTAGTAGCCTCAGGACAACTTCCACACGAACCACGGGGGTTGCTGCACACTTGGGAAGAAGGGAGTTCCCCAAGGCAAGTCAGGATATTTCTGGTGGAAGCACAGGGGGAGATGCTGGAAAACCAAAAAAAAAAAAAAAAAAAAAAAAAAAAAAAAAAAAAAAGTCCGTTACAGTGTTTAGTAAATAACAGCTGACCCCAGAAAAGAAGCAGGGAGGCAGAAAGATGAAACCTAAGGCAGCACAGTCTATTGTTGTCTCTCACATGGAGTCATCTGGGGGAGAGCAGGATGCCATTACTGTAGACTTTGGGTTTTGTGCAGTAACTTACTGCTTCAGAGTCGAAACTGTAGAATCGTATTTTGCAGTTTAGGAGTAAAATGTTATTTAGCAGTATTGGAGGCCCAGTGACATTCAATGTCATGAGCTAAATGACTTCCTTTCTCCTTATTTCAAGGGCTACGACAGTGTTTATGTTAGCCAGGGTTAGCATAGGTGCTGAAGGAACGATGATGTATTTCACACGGGCAGTTGGAGGAACCCACAAGAAATCTGGTTGGATATATCCCACAAATAGTTGTATGTGAGGGTTTAGAACTCAGGACAGTGGTCTGGGAGTATATGGGAGCCTAGGGTATTAGAAGAGGCAGCACAGGGTAGTAGTGAAGAGCTCTTATTCTCCTTGGTAGCCTACTTCCCCCTCTCAGACACAAACCCAAAGGTCAGTCTGTTTTATTCATTCATCAAATAGAAGTGATGAGCTACCATAGGGCAATGATTGTCCTGAATGCTGGCCTTGTGGCAGTGAACCAGAAGTCTTTTTCTTAGGGAAACTTGAACTTGAATTTCCTGGGTTTGAATCCCTGATCTACCACTTGCTAGATGGGTAACCTTGGGCAATTTACTTAATTGTTCTGGGCCTCAGTTTTCATATCTGTAAAATGGGGGTCTAAAAGGACTAATACGGTTGTAAGTATTACATGAGTTAATAGTGGTAGACTGCTTTATTTTTTTTTAATTTTTGTTTATTTTTGAGAGAGAGAGAGAAAGCATGAGCCTGGTGGGTGGGCAGAGAGAGGGGGGACAGAGGACCCAAAGCAGGCTCTGGACAGCAGAGAGCGCTGCGCTGAGAGCAGAGAGCCCAATGCGGGACTCAAACTCACAAACTGTGAGATCATGACCTGAGCTGAAGTCGGACACTTAACTGAATGAGCCACCCAGGCGCCCCAGTAGTGATGAACTGCTTTAGAACTGGTGCATTACCAGTGTTATGTATGCCTTTGCTGTTATTATTACTGTTAACTATCATGGCTTAAGTCATAAACATAAAAAGCCTGCCCAAGGAGAGTCTAGAATACTGAGATTGAGGACTGGGTCCTGGAGAATGTGAATCTCTAAGAGTTTAAATAGATGTTCAATCAATACTAGCTCCCTTTGTCACCCCTCCCTTTTCCTTACTCAACATTGGATGATTGCTTTTATTTTTATATTAGTCCATTTTAAAGAGAAACATGTTTGAGACTATCTAGTTTGTTGTATATATCTTCTACAGTCATTTAAATAATTCTCTTCAGTTCTCTTCTTCTTCATATACACCCACCATGCCTTTGTCTGTCTTATTTTTTCCAGCCTTCCAACATATTCTTTACAGTGGACGATGTGGTCAAGGTCGGGGACTTTGGACTAGTGACTGCAATGGACCAGGATGAGGAAGAGCAGATGGTTCTGACCCCAATGCCAGCGTGTGCCAGACACACAGGACAAGTAGGGACCAAACTGTATATGAGCCCAGAGCAGGCAAGTTTTTTTGTTTTCTTTCCGAATTGAAAATGGATTTTCAGTTAGAATGGCCACAAACTAGATGAGCCCCAGGAATCTCCATCCACATTCTCCTTAAAATACCCAATACAATAAAATCTGAAAATCATGGAAACTGGTAGTAGTATTCACAGACAGCACAGCTAGGGTGCCATTTCTACAACCTGAGTTGGGGATGAATTAAGAAAAATACAGCGCATAAAACACACTCACCCCTGCACCAAAACCTGACAGTAGCCGGAAATTTAGAAAAAGACTTGGAATGCCCCTCTCCCAAACGTAACTCCAGTTCGTCTTGTGTAAACTATGTAGAAACTGGTTTCAGAGCCAGCCAGAGCCAGAGTACTGTACTGGGCTGCTCACTCCAGTAATTCACAAGCAACTTCTAGAATGTACCAGGGCAGGAACTAGTGGTAGATGGGCTAGGATGTGTTGCCTTGTGGTATGCTTAGTCTCCCAAGGACAAGCACTGAGAACGGACAGGGCCTAGAAGAGTAGTGGGAGCAGGGCATCCCGAGAGCATCAGAGAAGCATGCACAACCACCACCAGGCTAACCATACTCACAGGCTTACAGATGCTTCTGCGACAGCCAATCTAGGACTTTGTGGTCTCGATAACTGTTTATACTTGTAAACGTGATTGAGAACCCAAGAGTTTTTCTTACGGGATCTTACCTATCAATATTTGCCAAGTTAGAGGTTAATTTTGAGAAATTCATAAAAATCTTACTAGCTAAAAATAGCAATATTGAACCCATCGCATCTCAAAGACATTTCTATGAGAAATAAGTATTTTCCAAAACAAAAACAAGTTAGCAAGAAGAGTGGCATCTGTGTACATTTTTTGCAAATCTTATCGGACATAAAACAGCTAGATTCTCAATCTGCTTTTGCATTTAATCTGTTGCACTGTGTTATTTTGGCTGAAGGAAATGAAAATCTGACCTCACACGGATACATAGTTGGAAAGGGAGGAGTATTTAATAGCATTTTCAGGTAATTGTGAGGGTTTGTCTTTGGTAGTGCATCAAAACTTAGTAAGTGATAGTTTCTTAAAAGTCATCTGCCCTGTGGAGTCTAAAACCGTGTCACTAAACGTTTGTATTCTGTTACTGTAACGTCCTTGGTCCTTTTTGTACTTTGAAAGGATCTTTTGCTGTTGCATGATTTTGTCACATTGTGTGTTGGTAACTTGAAAACTGTCGGTTCCCTAAGTTATGCAACTTTTCCAAAAGTTGTCACAAGTCATTATCTAGTATTTTAAAAAATCACTTGGATTAATATCTCTACCAGTCTCACTAGAAAAGGCTTTAGACATTAAGAAGCCCCCATGGTGAATATGAATTTTCCCAAACTCTGATTTCATGCCAAAGCTCAGTTTTTTTCATTAGCCACAAATACTGTCAGTTTTCCTTGAAGTGCCAATCTCACTTTGTTCACCTGTAAGAAAATGTCTCGGGCGTCTGGGTGGCCCAGCCGGTTAAGCATCAGACTTCAGCTCACGTCACGATCTCACCATTTGTGAGTTCGAGCCCCGTGTCAGGCTCTGTGCTGAGAGCTCAGAGCCTGGAGCCTGCTTTGGATTCTGTGTCTCCTTCTCTCTCTGCTCCTCCCCCACTCTCACTCTGTCTCTCTCTCTCTCTCTCTCAAAAATAAACTTTTTTTTTTTTTTTAAATTAAAAAAAAAAGAAAGAAAATGCCTGTCAGGTAACCAAGTTGGAATAACCATAGTTTGTCTACCAGTTGTTGCTTCAAGTCAAAATGGTGACAAAATGGGAAAAGCAACCAGTTTATGAGGCTGACGCGCTGCCTGCTGTGCTAAGGAGGCAGGTGAAAAGCAACCAGTTTATATTATAACTCCAACAACTGCACAGTCGCTTTCTCTTGAGACGACCACTAGGCCTGGGTGTGGAGCAGAAATGCTTTATGAATATTTCCCATTTTGTCATGCAGACCATTATAAAGATAGGTACCTAAGGGTCGAGATGTAATACAATTAAGGATTTTTACTGCTTCAGCAAAGACATTCTAAGGGAAACTGCCTTTTTTGTTGTTGTTTAACTGTATGTGGCACCGAAGAATATCATTACCACTGGTACAGCTCGGTGTGGCTGCCTCGATTCACGCTAAGCTTCCCACAGTGCAGATGTCAACATAGAGAGGAGACAAATCATGCCTTAGTAGGAGTATGGAAATAGTCCTGACCTTGCAGGCCTCCTGAAAGGATGTTGGGATCCTCAGGGATCTGTAGGCCAGACTTTGAGAATCTGTGGATTAGATGATCTTTGGAAGGTTATATCAGAGACCAGTCAGAGGAATTGCCTTTGAGAAGGAAGAATATTTAACTGTTGTACAATATCCCATTCCACCCCTGCCCCCAGACACCCTTTGAAAGAGATGACTCTCCCTCCACTCCTTGTCAGGATCTATCCCATTGTACTGTTTATGCTTCTCACAGCATTTCTAACCCTCTGAAATTTTTTCCTCCCCTCTAAAATACGAGCTATCAGAAGAGAGACCTAATTTTTCTCTTGTTTTACTCTATCCCGAACACCTACAACCGTGATAGGATGAGTGAGTGTGAATGTCAGTGGAAACATAGACACTAGATGGACTCAGCTAACCCCACACTGCTGTGCTGTGACTGGATTGTGGCTTGCGGCTGATGCGTGTGCTCACGTGCGCACATGTGGGTGTGTGTTTGTTGGAGGAAAGGGCTGCCATCTGAGAAAGGAAGAGATCAATCATAAATGATATCATATTTGTTGTTGTTGAAGATACTAGAAATCAAGGATAGCCGGAGAAATTTTGCCATTGACACTGCAGTGAAAATATGGTAGTTAAAAATAGTCTTAATTCTCTTAACAATTACCTTGTTGTTATTCTATATTATACACTCTTCAATATAGACACTGTCACTTTATAAAATGTCCCTTTATTTTTTTTAAACATGTTCATTTACTTATTGTGAAAGAGAGTGTGAGAGAGAGAGAGCAGGGGAGGGACAGAGAGAGGGAGCAGGAAAGAGAATCCTAAGCAGGCTCCACACTGTCAGTACAGAGCCCCGTGTGGGGCTCAAACTCACAAACTGCAAGATCATCACCTGAGCCAAACAAGAGTCAGACGCTTAATCCACGGAACCACCCAGGTGCTCCTAAAATGTCCCTTTCTATATATATATATAAACAAAAAACAAAAAAAAACAGTTAACTGTCTGACTTCGGCTCAGGTCATGATCTCACAGTTCGTGGGTTTTAGCCCCGCGTCGGGCTCTGTGCTGACAGCTCAGAGCCTGGAACCTGCTTTGGATTCTGTGTCTCCCTCTCTCTGCCCCTCCCCTGCTCATGCTCTGTCTCTCAGAAAATAAATGTTACCAAAAAAATTTAAAAACAAAAAATGTCCCTTTAAAAGTCTCAGAATACTTTGTATGAATTGTCTTAACCAAGTTTCAGAAGCTGTGTTAAGAAATTGTTTTAAAATATATTTTATCAAAGCTCTCAATTTTTTTTACCCTTCTAGGAGAAAATAAGTGAGCAGAGACCAGCTACTTTTTTCTTGGTTGTAATTACCAAGAAATACGGTCCAAGTTCTAATATTGCACAGTGATAAAACAATCAACTTAAACTCTCAAAGGGTATATTTATATTATATTCTACCCCTCTTGAGATTTTACACTTAATTCCTTAATTTTTAGATATTTTGTAGAGATCACTTTGTATGATCACTTTTTGTAGAGATCACGAAGCTACATTGTTTTTTTTTTTTTAATTTTTTTTTTTTTCAACATTTATTTATTTTTGGGACAGAGAGAGACAGAGCATGAACGGGGGAGGGGCAGAGAGAGAGGGAGACACAGAATCGGAAACAGGCTCCAGGCTCTGAGCCATCAGCCCAGAGCCTGACGCGGGGCTCGAACTCACGGACCGCGAGATCGTGACCTGGCTGAAGTCGGACGCTTAACCGACTGCGCCACCCAGGCGCCCCTACATTGTTTTTTAAATGTACGTAATCGTACTTTTTCCCCCTCTTTATGTATCGATCTATTCTGTATGTAGGAAATATAGGAATGTATAAAGAAAAATTTAAAATCACTTACTAAAAAATCTCTAAAACATTAACAGTGGTTCTTATTTCTTTTTTCTGTATATGTATACACCCTTTACAACACGTATTTATACATACTTTATTTTGGAAAAGAAACTTGAGATTCTAGTCCATAAGATTTTAGATAAAATATTAAAATTAAGCATTTCCCACATTATTAAATGTTTTTAGAAAATAGCTTTGGGTATATAGTATTCTCTCTGTGAAGCAATTTATTCAATGTTCGTTTTGGGCATTTTAGTTACTTACTTACAAGTTTTGCTATTAGGAGTATTACTTAAATAACTATCCCTGCGTACAGATCTCCCCATTTCCACCTACCTTTGGGTGGATGAAATAAAATAGGACTATTAAATGGAAGTCAGTGTTTACTGCCAAGTTGCTTTTCATGAAGGTGTGTTATTTTCCAAATAGTGTGTGAGGGCGTCCTTTTCACTGTAGCCCTAGAAGCTCTGTTTTTGAAGAGTTTGGGGAGTTTGGAATACTTTCCAACCCCCAAAGATAAGAGGGAAGGGAAGAGGGAAAGGTAATGTCACCAGTGTTGGCATTGACACTCTCCCGAGCTGATACTCTTTACACACAGAGGCAGGCTGGCTGGTAGAAGGAGCCTGGGAGGCTGGTGTCAGCTGCCACTTAGGAGGTGGGAGAGGGCTTCGAGTCCCCCGTTAAGAAATGCCACCATGGGGGCGCCTGGGTGGCTCAGTCGGTTAAGCGTCTGACTTCAGCTCAGGTCACGATCTCGCGGTCCGTGGGTTCGAGCCCCGTGTCGGGCTCTGGGCTGATGGCTCGGAGCCTGGAGCCTGCTTCCGATTCTGTGTCTCCCTCTCTCTCTGCCCCTCCCCTGTTCACGGTCTGTCTCTCTCTGTCTCAAAAATAAATAAAAAACGTTAAAAAATAAAAATAAAAAAAAGAAATGCCACCATGGAGTGCTTTCAGAGTAACGCCCTTCTCTAATGTTTGCCAAATGTGAAGTTCTCTGCCTAGAGTAATTTTCACACGTAAAAGGGTTCTTCTAAGTCCGGGGAGGTCACTTTTAATTTGAATGAGGCTTTGTTTTATGGAGCAGTTGGGCTGTAATTCGTCTGTTCATTTTAACAAATAAGTTTTTATTGAGGGCCTTCTCTATACTTAGCCCAGTGCCTGATGGTGAGAACACAAAAGCACACAAAAGCGGCAGTTTCCTTCCCTCCAGGACTTTATAATCTAGTTGTGAACAATAAGAAATATATGCATGTAAAATACAACTAAGAATGCAAAGCAGTCCACAATTAAGTACCATAATGAGGGCTAACCACAGTTGATTAGTGGTTTGGAGTAATGAAGATTTTCTCATAAAAATGGGTGAGGTCTAAGATGATTAGAAATGAGAGATCTGCTTTAGATAGTGTTGGCTTTGAAAATCTTCACCTCGAGGGTAGTTGAGCAGCTTTTACTGGCTCCCACAAACTTTTTTAGCACTGCAAGGCTCCAGGTTTCTTCGGGGCCTATTTTACTGATGCATATCTCAGAGCAGTACCTGGGCTTTCCTTCTGTAATGCTGAGTAGTTTAATTACTCTTGCTGTGGTGAGTTGAAGAAAAGAGGCTGGGAGTGATTATTAACTCTTTGCTGACGTTTTTACCCATACGATTACGTTTAAACCAAGAAGTGACTAGGTCAACTTTGGGATTCACTAAGGCTATATTAATTTTGTACGATCTCTGTTAATTTTTTTCTAATATCTCTTCTTTATATGGGATTGCAGATTCATGGAAGCAACTACTCTCATAAAGTGGACATCTTTTCTTTAGGCCTCATTCTGTTTGAACTGCTGTACCCATTCAGCACTCAGATGGAGAGAGTCAGGGTAAGTTCCCCCTACTCAGAAAAGATGCAAAAAGAAAATACTCAAGTTTACAAAAGAAAGGATTTTAAAAGGAGAGTAACTTATTCTGGATACCATCAGACTAGTTGACTGTAAGTGAAAAGGTCACATGAGCTTTACAGGGATGATTTGTAGACTGTTTACTTCCATTTAAAGCTCAGTTTTCAAAAATTATTTGATTATTCCTTGTTGCTTAAATTCATCATTAACAATATCCTACACTCAGTCAATTTGTAATAAGTGCAAAGCTAGGACCACGAGTAATGGGGGCGGAGAGGGAGTGACGGTGGTCTTCGGTCAGAAAAGAGTTTTTCTGAGGGCAAGTGGCCACACACTCATACACTTAAAAACTGGCAAATTAAGCATAATTAATGTTCTTTTTCTCTGAAAATAAGCCAGGACCATGGCTTTTAAGGAAGACTACTGAAAGTCTTTAAAATTGTTTTAAGCTTTAGATTGAGAGCAGGCAAGCACTAGTGGGGGAGGGGCAGTGAGAGAGAGAGAGAGAGAGAGAGAGAG